CGGCGGCGCGGCGTGGCTCGGGTCCTGGGGGCGGGGCTTGCAGCAAGCCCCGCCCCCAGGAATCGGGCCCCGCTCTTGCTAAAGCCGGCCCTGTGTGTGTCTCTGTCTCTCTCTCCCATGCTGTCTTCCCCCCCCCCCCGCCCTCCATTCATGCTGCCTTGTACAGTGTGGGGTTACATTAACAACAACGTGTTAACCCTTGAGGGCTCAGCTGAGTGCTAGTTCATCATTTTAGCAGTAAGGCAATAGCCCACCCACTGACTCCTACACCTCAACCAAGCCTCACAATCATCATTGCTCTGTACAGTATTCAATTGTTTGTTTAAAACTTATATTGTGAGTATGTGTGTGTGTGTATATATAAGTCTTTTGTCTGGCAAAAAAAAATTCCCTGGAACCTAACCCCCCATTTACATTAATTCTTATGGGGGAATTGGATTTGCTTAACATCGTTTCACTTAAAGTCGCATTTTTCAGGAACATAGCTACAACGTTAAGTGAGGAGTTACTGTACATTTTTTAAAATAATGTAAAAATGTGAAGGCTCTGGGATGGGGCTGGTGATGAGGGGTTTGGGGTGGGGGGGCTCAGGCAGGGGGCTGGGATGCAGCGGAGAGGGCTGTGGATGAGGAGTTTGGGGTGTGGGAGGGGGCTCAGGGCTAGGGCAGAGGGTTGGGGTATGGGCGCTGGGGATGAGGGATTTGGGGTGTGGGAGGGGGCTCAGGGCTGGGGTGCAGGGGTGAGGGCTGGGGATGAGGGGTTTGGGATGTGGGAGGGGGCTCAGGGCTGGGGTGCAGAGGTGAGGGCTGGGGATGAGGAGTTTGAGGTGTGGGAGGGGGCTCAGGGCTAGGGCAGAGGGTTGGGGTATGGGCGCTGGGGATGAGGGGTTTGGGGTGTGGGAGAGGCTAAGGGGTAGGGCAGAGGGTTGAGGTGCAGGGGGTGAGGGCTCTGGGGTGGGACAGGGCTGGGGATGAGGAGTTTGGGGTGCAGACAGGCTGCCCCAGGGAAAGGGCCAGGGAGGAGGATTCCCCCCAGCCCTCTTCCCCCCCACTTCCCCTCTGCACCACACTCACCCCCACCACTGTCACTGCATGTGCTCCTAGGGTCCCTCTCAGGTACAGGAAGCCCCCTCGTCTCCCCTGCAGTGGGTGCCAGGGGGTGCTGCGTGCGCTTCCTCCCCTGCTGTTGCCCCTGACTGTAGCCTCAGGGGGGTGGGGGATGAGGCTGCCCCTTGTCTAGCATGGGGTAGGAGCAGTGACTGTGGGCGGGGGGGGGAGGGTCCCATTGGAAAATGAAAGGGTCTGAGGGGAAAGGGCAGGCTCTGGGTCAGCCTGCCCTGGCAGTAGTGGATGTGGGTCACTAGGACCCTGCGGCAGCAGTTGATGCAGGGAGGCAGCATGGAGCTGCTGCAGAGAGACAGAGACCCTCTGCTCCAGGGACCCACGTGGTGGGGCAGCAAGTGGGGGCTGGGGGACACTCTGGGAGGCACGCAGGAGCAGCAGGAGGGGCCGGGGGAGAGACCCAGCCCCAAACATTGGTGGAGCTGGGCTCTCAGGCCCTGAATATTGCTGGAACCCGGGCACCATGAGCCCATATAACTCCCCGCCTATGCATGTTGCTTCTTGCCAATGGCTAAACCAATCCCTCATAGTTTTTCCTGTGACATCGCTTATATGAGTGACTGATATAAATTTGAAGTTTTTCAATATGTAAGTCATCAACCCTGAACAATTATATAAGTTCTGCGTGGGAGTGTGAATCCTGCTGCACTAATTAGGGCAGAGATGCTCAAACTATTTACCAGCCAGTCGGTCTTTTGTCAGAGGAACAAAAGTAGGAGGGGAGAGAGTCAAGACAGTGACAGGAAATGGGTGACCAGGCATTTCCCTGTTTTAGGGGTGAGGAGAGGATGAGCGGCTAGGAAGAGGTGTACAGTCTGACTTTTTCAACCTGAAATTATTATACACACAATGACTAAGGCGTAAAGGGGAGTTAAAAAGTCAAAAGACAAACTAAAAAACAGGATTTGGTGGTTTTTAAAATCACCAACAAGATTTTTGATCTCTTAAAGTTGGCAATACTGCAGTCAGACGTGTGATAGACACACCCGAGGTAGCTTTGAGCCAGTTCGCTCATATACTGATAGCAATCAATTGTAACTGATATTCTGATTTTTTCCGATCGGGGACATCAAACCAAACCAACAATACTTAGTGGCGAATCATCACTTTGAAACAATTGTTTTGCTTTGTTTCGATTTAAAAATGTCATCTTGGCTTTGGGATTTTCAGGGGTTTTCCTGCCTTTCTCTTCACAAATTTCAGGTGGGGATTTTCCCTGAAAAATTGACCACAGGGAACATTTCTGCTTTTGATCAGCCATGCAGAGGCAGCTGTAACCCTCTGCCCCCAGCATCATACCTCCTTGCCCCATTCCCTAGCCATAGCCACTCCCAGGGACCTATGGGGGATGCTGGAGAAAGTTAATCAGGCCTCAGGCTACAGTGACTCTGTCACGTGTCCTCTGCAGTACCAGAGAGGGAGATGCTGTGTTTCCCTCCTGCTGTTTAGCTCTGGTGAAAGCTCTATCAGAATTGGAAGGAGGCTGGACTTCCTGGGCTCTATTCAGACAATGACTCACTGAGTGCTCTTGCTCCTCCCTGCCCCTCAGTTTCCCCATCTGTAAAATGGTAGGGAATGAAACTTAATCTCACAACTCCCCCGTCCCACCCGAGTGGCAGGTTGTCATAACTATAAAGGGAAGGGTAACAGCTGTCCTGTGTACAGTACTATAAAATCCCTCCTGGCCAGAGACTCCAAAATCCTTTTCCCTGTAAAGGGTTAAGAAGCTCAGGTAACCTGGCTGGCATCTGACCCAAAGGACCAATAAGGGGACAAGATACTTTCAAATCTTGGTGGGGGGAAGGCTTTTGTTTGTGTTCTTTGTTTGGGAAGTTGTTTGCTCTTGGGACTGAGAGGGACCAGACATCAA